ACGAAGTCTATATTACATAATATAATAAATGTACTTAATATATTCTTCAATAAGCTGGGCTATTTATCACAAAGCAACTGGGTATAAACTACACTATATAATTAGTGTATTTTAAGCTCGGTGAGAGGCATGAAACGTCTTGACAAAGGAGTTAACGTATCAAAGCAGGATAATTTAGCATTGAAATAGTTGAGGGATTAGCTTATGACAGAAATAGCTATGTTAGAGTTAAAGTTTACCTATCAACCGAGGCATTTAGTATATGGACGCTAAAGGCCTCCAACTACCCAACTATCATACAGTAAACCGATGTGAAAAAAACTGGGTCTGTATTACATCAATATAATAAATGTACTTAATATATTCTTCAATAAGCTGAGCTATTAATCACATAGCAACTGGGTAAGGTAATGTCAGCAAAAGAGCTGCGGTCTGACGGTCACCATAAAATACAATTAATTAAGAACCGAAATGGTTTGAAACATCTTTCCAATGGTTACTAAGCCAGAATCCATCTTCTCGGTTGAAATTGTCTCTGTGCTTGTATATGTGGATGGCCTCATGAACGAATCTCTCATGGTAGCCAGTTTGGCTTGCAAAGAACCTCCGTCTTGGAGAAGTCGATGTTATGTGAACCCACTGAATTATAACAGTGATCTGCAACGGCAGAAGAGTTCGTCCTACCGTGTTTCAAGTCTGCTTTATGTTCGGATGCTGTCCGAGATATGTCGTTTGGTTTCTCCAATGTAGTTGCTACCACAGAGGCACTTTATTTTGTAAACGCCCGGTACTGTATGTCTGGAACAACATCTTTTACAGATGGAACCAGATCACGGATTATGTACTGTGTTGAATCGGACCTGTATCTTGTGTTTATTCAGGATTTTGGAGATCTTTTTAGTGACCCCTGCAATGTAGGGTAAGGTGATGGTTTTGAGTGGCTCCACAAGAGGATCCTTCTTCATGACTGGAGTGATGGCTTTGCGGATTGTGTAGTCGGAGTAGCCATTAGCCCTGAGAGCCTGGTGTACGTGCTTGAGTTCACTGGTAATGTGTTCCTGGTCGGAAATGCATTGGGCTCTATGGTATAGAGTCTTGATGAGGGAGTTCTTCTGGGATGGATGGTGGTGGGAATCCGGTTCAAGTAGCATCTGTATGGTAGCTTTCTGTAGACAGAGTGGCTCATTGAACCATCATGTCTCCTTTTAATTAAGACATCCAAAAAGGGTAGCTTGACATTTTTTCGACCTCCATGGTAAATCTGATGGCTGGGTGTATGGAATTGATGTGGTCGAGAAATTGGTCTAGAGCAGGCTGGCCATGTGGTCAGATGACAAAAGTGTCATCCACGTACCTCTTCCATAAGGTCGGGGTAGAGTGGCAGTCTGGATGGCGTCAGTTTAAAATTTTTCCATGAATACGTTGGCTACAACCGGAGACAGGGGGGAGCCCATTGGGGTGCCTAGTCGTTTGTAGAAAGTTCCATTCCAGGTGAAGTATGTGTGGTTAAGCAATGTCTCACCAGGGGGGTACATCAGTATGTAGTCCTTGATGAACCAAGTCTTCAATGATTGTGATGGTGTCAGGCACCGGAACTTTGGTGAATAAGGAAACCACATCAAAACTGACAAGCACGTCGTCTGGGGACAGGGAAATGCCTTTGATTGTCGATACCAGGTGAGTAGAATTTAGTATCGCAGAGGTGTTTTTCCAGTGAAAGTTGAAGTATATCAGCCAGAAAACGTGCCAGTTATAGGTGGGGAGTTGATAGTAGAGACGATGGGACAAAGGGGTGTATCTTTGTGTATCTTTGGAAGGCCATATAATCTTGGTGGTCTGGCAGTAGAGGGTTTCAACGAGAACTGTTTGGTCTGATCAATTATGCTGCTGCATCAGAGATGATTTTGTTCGCTTTGGTAACCAGGCTGTTGGTAGGATCTCTTTTATTTTTGTATAGCTGCCATCGTTGAGTAGTTCTAGAATTTTGTTGTTATATTCTGTTTTGTCCATGATGACAGTGGCATTGCCCTTGTCGGCTGAGAGGACAACAATACCATCTCTCTTTTTTAATTGAGATAATTAAAGCGTTCATCTTTGCTGATGTTGCTAGGTGGTATCTTAGCGTTTTTGAGGATTGCAGCGATTTCAGATCTTGCTACGTCTGCAGAGATGTGACTTAAGCCCTTGAGTGCAACGTCGACATGGGCAATGATATCATTAACTGGTATGTGTTTCGGCGTGACAGCAAAGTTTAGCCCTTTAGCTAAAACGGATTTCAGGCCATCAGAAATGGAACTGTTACTGCGATTAATTACGACTTTGTTAACGTCTATCTTTTTGGTGTGTGGATCCAATTTTTGGTTGGAGAGGCGATTAAATTTGCAAATCAAATTGTCCCTACATTTGGTCGCCCTATAATTCAGTGGGTTCACATGACATCGACTTCTCGAAGACGGAGATTCTTTCCAAGCCAAACTGGCTACCATGAGAGATTCGTTCATGAGGCCATCCACATATACAAGCACAGAGACAATTTCACCCGAGAAGATGGTTTCTGGCTTAGTAACCATTGGAAAGATGTTTTAAACCATTTCGGTTCTTAATTAATTGTATTTTATGGTGACCGTCAGACCGCAGCTCTTTTGCTGACATTACCTTACCCAGTTGCTATGTGATTAATAGCTCAGCTTATTGAAGAATATATTAAGTGCATTTATTATATTGATGTAATACAGACCCAGTTTTTTCACATCAGTTTACTGTATGATAGTTGGGTAGTTGGAGGCCTTTAGCGTCCATATACTAAATGCCTCGGTTGATAGGTAAACTTTGACTCTAATATAGCTATTTCTGTCAAAAGCTAATCCCTCAACTATTTCAATGCTAAATTCTCCTGCTTTGATACGTAAACTCCTGTGTCAAGACGTTTCATGCCTCTCACCGAGCTTAAAATACACTCATTATATAGTGTAGTGTATACCCAGTTGCTTTGTGATTAATAGCCCAGCTTATTGAAGAATATATTAAGTACATTTATTATATTATGTAATATAGACTTAGTTCTTTTCACATCGGTTTATTGTATGAAAGTTGGGTAGTTGGAGGCCTTTAGTGTCCATATACTAAATGCCTCTGTTGATAGGTAAACTTTGACTTTAACATAGCTATTTCTGTCACAAGCTAATCCCTCAGCTATTTCAATGCTAAATTATCCTGCTTTGATACTTAAACTCCTTTGTCAAGAGGTTTCACGCCTCTCACCGAGCTTAAAAAGACGCTACGATTCTTAACAACGGTCATTGGAGCACTGTCGTCCCGACAGTTCTGTTCTTTCACCTGATGAAGGCTGCTTGTGTTGTGGCTGAAACATCGTGAGAATTTCATTGTCTTATTTTATTTTATTATTTTATTTTCATTCTACGTGACTTTACTGAAAGAACCAAAGAAGACAGATCGAAGATGTTGCCTTTGGAATATGTAGTAGGCGTAATAGATTGAGTCAGACCAAGGGTGTCCAGAATGGACAGAAATGTGGATACATTACATTCTCGAGAGTTGTCAATATGGAAATTGAAATCACCAGAAATTATTACTGGAGAGGAAAACATGCTGAATCCGTGAAGCTTAATCTAAGAAATCCGATACAAAGTTATAGTTAGTCTTGGGTGGACAGTAAAGAATAAACAGCTTCAGTTGAGAAAAGTACAGTAATTGAAGAGCAAGGTGCTCAGAGGTGGAGTAGCCGGAACATTTAATATTCACGAATTTTAAGTTTGATTTTGCAATGACTGCAACACCACCACCACCATACCGACCTGAAGGCCGAGCACATTCAAAGAAGTGGAAACGTGAAGTAACTGATTTAAGAAAAGGGAGAACATCTGATGATGAATTCCACATTCCAGTAAGGCAGATAATAGCTACACTACATATTACTTTACCAGGTAAGGCCCACTGAGATACATAGCTCTTTTTCAAAGAAACCTTGCTGCAAATAATAGCTTATCACGTGGATTTTTTTTTACAGCAGCCAAATGCTCTAAACACCTGTTTCCGAATGTGGAGGGAGAAACCGGATGACCCAAAGAAAAATCCACGCGACCACGGGGAGAACATGCAAACTCAAAATATGTAGGCCTCATTGTCAGAATTGAACCCACTATCTCCTGTATACCAGGCGAGGTAGTTAACATCCCGACACCGTGGCACCCTCAGTCATCCCCTCCAGAGGAAAATCATCAATACTCAGTGTTGTATTGTTAATTCAGAGAATGTTTAATAAGGATAATTTTATCTTCATGGGTATACAGTATGTGGGCAGGTGTAGACTATGACGTTTGTGGAGGAGACCATTGATTCCTGCCGAGTGGCAGATGACGGTGTCTATGCGATATGATGGGTATATGAGATTGGGAACCTAGACAGCGATGACAATTAAAATGCATTTGTTCGCATTAGGTCAATTGATGAATGCATTCTCCGATTGTACACCTACGGTGTACTGTACATAAGGCCGTCGTATTAATCCCCGCAGTTGACAAGCTGAGTGGGCGCTTGGGTCAGGATGATGCGGAAGTGTATTTCAGGCCCAGCAGAAAATCAGGCAAGTAGCCTGTTGCTACATTTCAGAAGTAGGTGACGAGTTTTAGTGACATAAGCAACACCGGACCAGCCAAGCCGGTTTAGCCAGCTGGAGACGCTGCCGAGAGGGCTGCGCTGATGTACGCAGGTAACATTCCAGCCACATAATAGCCGCTAACGATGAGCCAGCGGGCAGCAAGGTCGCGACCAATGACCACACAGGTGACCAGGGGAAAGGCGGCAGTCGATGGAGGGTTCACGAGGTGGGTGGGGGAGGGTTGAAAAGATGGTGGCCACCACCGCAGCTTTCCCTGAACCAATGGCCCGGGAAAACCAAGTGGTAGGCAATGATGTTAATTATGATGGTAGTGATGTTGGAGGTGATAATGTTGATGATGTTGATGGTGTTGATGAGCTAGGATGGCGAGGTGATTGGCATCAATGCGCTCAAGGTTGCTGCTGGGATCTCGTTTGCGATCCCCTCTGACCGCATTCGCCTCTTCCTCTCCGAGTCGCACCACCGGCAGACCAGAGGTGGGGAGTCCTCCCTACCTAATCCTCCACCTTCCTTCCAGTGCAGGTGTGGGGGCTGATGCCCCCCTCCCCACTCCCCATTAGGTGGGGGCTGATCTCCCCCTCCCCACTTCCCGCGAGCGGGTGGGGCGCAACGTCCCCCCCCCTCACTCCCCGCGAGCGGGTGGGGTGCGACGTCTGCCCCCTCCACCCTCGCCCCCTCTCTCCGCGTTTGCGTCTCGCGGGGCCACCCGCACCCCCGCCCCCGACCGGACGACCGGCCCCCCCGCACCAGCGCCCTCTCTGACTGACATAGCTAGCGGCTGGCAGACACCGCCTAGGGGTTAATTACGCGCGCGCCCTCCCCCCCACTCACGCGTTCTAACCGCGCGGATTACGTAATATTCCTTGAAATTGCAGCTCGCAGCTGTTTGGAAATAATTATTTTACTAAGCCGTCGTGTCGACAAGCCGACTGCGCTCGGAATCAATTAATCACGAACGTTCATCTATTTAATTAATTATTTGTATGTGCGCGCGCGTCGTACACACACTGATTGGAGTCACCCACACACAGCAGTGCGCCGATCGCTGTCCCACCGCTCTTTACCATCTTCACACACACGCACACGCACAATGCGTCAACCAACAATCTGGTACCAAGGTTTTATTTCTGGCGTGAATAGCGAACTCTTGCTTTTGGCCCCCTCCAGCCAGCACCCTTCGGACAGCGCCTAACCTCTTATCCCCTATCCTTCGCAGAGTGCGACTATCCCTAAGCTAGGGCTGACTGCGAACTGGGCTGAATCGGCCACCCGTGCTTACTCACCTTTCTAGCTGCACGATGGGGGTTGGGGAAGATGCTTGCCTCGGAGACTTTGCCTGGGCAATCGTTTTCAGCTGCACCCTGCAGGTGTCCCACGGACGCTGAGGGCGGCTGGTATTCTCCACCACTCCAGAAGAACTCTGATCCCAATTTGCCCTCCTTTCCCCCCTTATGTTCTCAAAGCCTGTTAATCCCCGGGTAACATGATGTCATCCTGCGTGTCAAATCGAATCCTTTTTTCCGGCCGTTTTGAGCGCTGTGGCCGTTGGGGGTGGGGGGGGGGAGCATCACGTCATCCCTCGCTTTCCATTGTTTCAGTGTTTCAGTACCTGCGCTCCTCATCGCTGCCTAGGGGCTTTTCCCTCCCACCCCACTGTTTACACTGCCGCAGGGTGCTCGCCTTGGGGTACCATCCCCTGTGCTGTGTATGCTTCATTGCGGCCGGCCTGTAAAGCTCTATGCCCCCTTTTAGGGGGGGGGGCGCCATGTAATCCGGTCTGGGGGGCTCAGCCAATCTCCTGGTCCGGGGAAGCCGTAGAACGTCCCTGCTAGAGGGGTCCTCGGGTGAAAACCCATCGTACCAGGTGATCCCTCCTCGAGACCCTACGGGGGTGCATCCGAGTGTTTAGTGGGGCGTGCGTGCGTTCGTGGGGGGGGGGGGGGGGTGAGAGGAGAGGGTAGCGCCGGCTGAGTTGCTCCGCTGCGGTGGAACCACACAGTAGCAAAAGTAGCATATGCTATGGACCCCGAACTTCCAAGGGCCCCGCGCTAAATGCTTTCAAGCTATCAGTGATTCTCCACTTGCTCTAATACTATAGTACTATACTGCCTTCAAATTGTATGAACGACTGCGTGTTTAAGGTTAGCGTTTTGTCGTATTATGTGCCTGTATAGCAAATGAGAAAAAAATGTATAACATATGCTACAGGCCCCGCACTAGCTTAATCCGGCACTGATTCCTTCTCTTTCTCCCATCCTCCTTTCATCCACCCTCTCCTTTTCCCTCCCTCCTCACTTCCCCCTCCCCTTACCCGTCCCTCCTCCCTCCCCCTTCTCTTCCCTCTCATGCACATTCTCTACCTCCTCCACCCCCTCCCCCCTTTTTATCGTCATGGCGATGATGATATCTTCGTCGTCTTCACAGAGAAGAACGAGATGAAGCGACGATACATCGGCATCAGCATGCTGACGCTCACCACGAGGTGCGAGCCCTCACTCCACTCACCACAGCCTCGCCACATTCACCACAGCCTCGCCACAATAACTTATTCATTCACCTCACTCATCACAGTCTCACCACATCCTCTACATGCACGCTAATAACACATATTAATAAAGCACTTTCCTACATGGAACTCAAGGCGATGGCACATCATAACATAAACCTTTGTCCAAGGAGAGTAAAAACTAAGAAGCTGGGACTGTAACGTGCCCCGAGGGGAGTGGGGGGGGTTTAAACGCCACCGCCGCTGAGCAGCGATCGTCGCTCCGCAGCCCGTGGGGAGCAGCGGCGTGTGTGGGAGGGGGGGGGGCAGAATGAAGCCTTTGGGGTGGCCACACAAGCACAAGGCCCCGGTGAGGCTGTGAGGTAACCGACTTGTTCACTTTGGAGAGCCTCATAGGTCAAAAAGGAGAATGTTAAACTTCACTCTGAACTTCATAGGGATCGGCTGGTGAAGAGAGTTTTTCTTTCGCTCGCCGGGTTTCTTGATAAGAATCGAGCAGCTGAGTTCAACGTACCCAGGACTCGGGTGGGAACACACGAAAGAACAGCATCGCAGTAATCGCTCCTTGAAAACATACGGAGGTGGATCGGCCTCTCCGTATCCCAGGACGACGGGCAAGGTCCCGGGCGAGGTCCCGGGCGAGGTCCCGGGCGAGGTCCCGGGCGACAGCTGAGTTCAACGTACCCAGGACTCGGGTGGGAACACACGAAAGAACAGCATCGCAGTAATCGCTCCTTGAAAACATACGGAGGTGGATCAGCCTCTCCGTATCCCAGGACGACGGGCAAGGTCCCGGGCGAGGTCCCGGGCGAGGTCCCGGGCGAGGTCCCGGGCGAGGTCCCGGGCGAGGTCCCGGGCGAGGTCCCGGGCGAGGTCCCGGGCGAGGTCCCGGGCGAGGTCCCGGGCGAGGTCCCGCGAGGTCCCGGGCGAGGTCCCGGGCGAGGTCCCGGGCGAGGTCCCGGGCGAGGTCCCGGGCGAGGTCCCGGGCGAGGTCCCGGGCGAGCGGTGCTTCATTCACACTGAAATGTTAGCCCAACGGACGATTTGCAAGCCACCGGCTCGAACACTGAGTTTAAGCAAGTTCACGGTCATGATGAATGGTGTAGCCCAACTTAACTCAAGCATGTGAATGCCAGGTTTCAGTGAAAAACTAAATAAAAAATGTCGATATCACTGACAAGATCATGAATCAACAATTACTTATTACCCATAGATCCAACATCGCACAATGCACAAGTCGCAAAGGAAGGGGATTGCAGAACAGTTATATGGGATACATGTGAAGACATTCTTGGCAGGCTGCTAAGACAAAAAAAACGAATTGCATTGAAGCATCTAGCTGGTGGCTTTTTGTGGCTGAGCTGGATAACAAGGGTAAGTTAATTGAGGCTGCATTGTTGATGGACTGACACGGGCGCAGCTGTGGCCAAAGCCGCAGTGTAGAGGATGGCCGACTAAGGATATCAGCCTCACAACAAAGGGAGCAGAGGGCCAGCTCCGTAGGAAATCCGAGGCGCAGCTTGTGAGGCCAGAAGCAGGGCTGGTAAGTCGGAGAGCCGCATAACTCATGCTGAAGACATTGCTTCCCGGACCATTCCGCCACCAGTCAACCTCATCGTCAATACTATACTTACCACACCCACTCACCGCAGCCTCACCGCAGCCTCACAACCTACATCATCACAGTCTCACCACATTCACTCATCAGAGCCACACAAACCCACATTACCACAGCCTCACCACACTCCGTCATCTCACTACACTCACTACAGTCTCACCATACTCACACGACATCCTCTTCACACATACACCACCTCACCTCAAGGTGCGAACTCTAACCACTCACACACTCACCACACACTATCACCACATAAACAGTCTCACCACTCTCATTCACCACACACTGATGACGGTGATGACTTATTAGTGAGCTCCGACTGGTTCTGTGGTGATGATGGTGGTGGTTATGATGGTGGTGGTGATGATGATGTTGATGATTGTCACATACGGGGAAATGACATTCACTGGGATAATCTATAGTGAGGCAGATTAGCTTGTTTTTTGTATTGGTGACAGATTGGACACATTAAAGCACAGTCCAGCAGAGAAACTTCTCAACGACGTCCGGCAGAATGTAAATGTGTCGCTGACAACACCGGAATGACTAACCCTGGCCCTTGCTGATCTCGTGTTCGACACGCACGCCATCACAAACAATGCCTTGGTAGTCGCTAGGCCGTCACCAGTCGGGTAGTTTCATCTCGTTACAGACCGTACGAGCGTAGTCACCACCGCAGAACAGGTTGATGACAATAAATACAGTACCAACATTTTCACTAAACACGCCCCTTCTCTCAGTCTCCATAATTTACGTCGATTTAGGTGATTAAATCGACGTAAATTAACTGAATTTCACTATCTGAATGGCTGTTTACACCTATGTGTCTAAGCATCTGTATTATCTTATGAAGGTATAAAGTTAAAACAAAACAAAAATCACTCACGCTTTCTGCCCCGTTCAAATGCGAAGCCTCTGCCACGCTGATGTCTCCTCCTGGCAATGCTGCATTTCTCTATCTATAAACTAAGCTGTGCACTTTTTTTTATTTTACCATGTAAGGCCTGCTGAGCTATCGAGTAAACCCTCTCTAGTCGCAAGGAATACATTCTTGAAAACGCTCGCGAATGCAGAATTCGCGAGTGCAGAAACCTTGCTTAACGGGAATAATTGGGTTACGTTCCTGGTGCGAGTGAACATAGGGGGGGGGGGGGGGGGGGAATGGTAGATGTTTAATAACGATTACTACAATAAATAAGTAATAACTCATGAAGAACGGGTTTTTAAAAATTACCTTTGATGATGGTGATTTGACGATGACGGTGTAGGCGGTGATGGTGAGGAATTCAGGAGCATGACGTTTTGGGAGATGCAAGCGTTTGCTTTTCTTTCTTTCGTATGTACTATTAGCAGCAGATTAAATATGTAACTTTAGATTTGTTATCCACTCAATTGTCTGTTCAGACGAAAAGTGGATCTCGTCCATTCCTCCCTTAAAGGAGTGAAGACAGCAGCTGGCTTGGGATTGGTGACCACACTCGCAGGCTGCTGAATCTTTGATGCGTCATTTGTGCATCAGGTGGCCGCATCGGCCATGAATGATAACGCAACAGTTATCATTGTAACACTCTTGGGAGTGCTAGCTGCAACACTTTCCATGATTGCATTCGCGTTCTTTTTAATGGGCCTCACAGTTGACTCCATAGCAAATGTCGGCCTACCACAGATGCACTCTCACCGATATCTAGCTTATCTAACACTTTTACTTGTTCACTCAACTCATCACTTTATAACACGTAGGCTTTCTCGACCAATATCCATAATAGAGGTTTTGGGTGGGGGGAGATCGCGTATATAGAAATGTGTAGTTAAACCTGCCACCACCTGACACAGCCAATGATGAAGGTTTGTCACGTAAACAAAACATGCCAATTCGTTACTAGTTCAGCACACCGGTCGTGTGTTGGAGAATAAACCTACAATATTTACAATTTGAGTACGATATATCCCCTCAGGTCTTCGCACCTAATTGGTTCACAAGTGACGACATCACAATTATCCCTCCATTTAAGACGGAAACAGGAGGAGGATTTATCCACAACTCTGGCTGTTGCTTGATGAGGCTAGTTATAATTTATGGCGAAACGTCGTACTCGAATTGTAAATGTTGTCGGACATGGTTATATACCTCAATGTTAATAGGCGAAATGTAAATATTCAGACAGAGAAGGGACGTGTTTCGTGAAAGTTTTGGTATTCGTTTCCATCAGCCTGCCCTGTAGTGGTGACTACGATTATCCGGTCCGTAATGAAGTAGTGACAGCATATCCACTACCGTGGAGCATTGTTCGTGATCGTGTGGGGGTTAAACACGAGAGCAAGCAAGGGTCATCAGGGTCTAAGTCTACAGGCAGAGACACAAACTTGGACTCTTGGTGTACAACAAACGACACTCTGGTGCGAACGACGACACACACACACCTGTATTTTGCGGGACGCTAAGAAAAGTGTTTTGCTGTATTTTGTTTTGATGTGGCACCTCAACCTTTGCCATGCAAGCATCTCGCGGACAAAGACCCCCCTCAGTTTAACACGTAGGCTTTCGCGACCAATATTATTCATAATAAAGGTTTTTGGGTTAGATCGCGTTGTTTATAAATGTGTCGTAACCCTCCACCACCCGACACGGCCAATCAGCAAAAAAGTGTCACGTTGACAAAAGACAATTAGTTCACTACTTTAGCCCACCGGTGTGTTGAAGAGTGAATCCACAACATTTACAGTTTGAATACGACGTTTCGCTGGTAATTACATCCAGCATCATCGGGCAATTGCACGATGATGCTGGATGTAATTGCCCGATGATGCTGGATGTAATTACAGCGAAACGTCGTATTCAAACTGTAAATGTTGTGGATTCACTCTTCAACACACCGGTGGGCTAAAGTAGTGAACTAATTGTCTTTTGTCAACGTGACACTTTTTTTGCTGATTGGCCGTGTCGGGTGGTGGAGGGTTACGACACATTTATAAACAACGCGATCTAACCCAAAAACCTTTATTATAAAGACCCCCCTGTATAGATTCAACAGACTGTTGGGGCAAGTGCTGTTAGTGAGCACCTATGAAGGTCGGCACGCACACGAGGGGGTGGGTGGCCAGCACCATGCGCGGCCGCCTTTGTCTCCCTCGTGGAGATGTTTATATATCTCACCAGGTACTCGTTTGAGGCTGAGTTGACCTAGGGGAGGCCCAGAACCGATTCAGATAATAGTCACTGGTGTCAGGCGTGAGCAGGAATCGAACTCGGGTAACTGGGTTTCCATGTTTATTTAAATTATTTAATTTTTAGTTTACTGGCATACAGTATAGTATACTTATTTCAATTATGATGCTGTCTATTTTTGGTTGACATGTA